TGAGGCGTAGTTTGTAGTTTTTGACAGCAAACCAAGATCCTCTTGTTTGCTTCAAGAAAACTGCCTCGTTGTAGTGCCTGGAGTAATGTTAGTGATATCCTCATCCTAACAAGCCACCAATGCTCTTGACTATGATTTACAGCTGAGCCGGATTTTTCTCAGTCTCTTTGTTTGGTACAGGTATGGCTCAGTGGTAGAAATGAAATGGTTAGCTTGGTTTTTCATTTATCTTGGAGACAGGAATAAAGAGTATATTGAGATAATGATTTAAGAGCAAAACAACTAAATCAAACTGCTTGATTAACATGTGTTTTGAGATGTATATTTTGATCCTTCCATTTATTGATTAATATTCATAACTCAGAAAATTAAAGATTCCCTAGTGTTATTTTATGAATGAAATGGCTAAAATGTATTTTTTCTGAAGATGTCACTCTATGCCATTATTTAGTGTTTACAATTTTACTTATTTTTGTTGACATATTTGAAGTGGGAAAAGAGAATGAGACAGAACCTCCCATACTTTTATTATTAAGTCTGCTTCATTTCCCTCTTTGTGATTCCTCACCAAGAAAAGAAATGGCCTAAGAATTTCCACCTGCCTCATGTGTTTGTGAGCATTCAAGTACTTTGATTTCACAAATATTATTATCCAAAGTAACTAGTTTTTATAACTCTGACCCTCTTAAGGAGCCCAGAAACTAAGCTGGAAGGAAAATCGCAAAACCTTGCAAAACACCCCCCACACACACACCACACACACACGTGCACACACACACACACACACACACACACCCATTAGAAGTAGTCCTTCTTTGCCTGTATGGTCTATTGGTGTCACTTAACTAAAACTCCTCAGTCTGTGACCTTGAGCAAGCTAGCGGCTATGTAGGAGGAGTAGCATAATGAAGTTCATCCCCTCCATCACTGCCCAAAAAGGGGTGCAAATTTTCTTCCGAACAGGTAAGTGTTTTTACAATTATGGCAGATGGTGATTGAAGCAAAGGCAATTCAAAGGGGAGACACCGAAAGCAGTAACTTTGAATGTTTGACATTTGTTTTGAAACTACCTTACTACCCTATACCCTTTACCATCTGTCTGTTACCCCTCCCAACACCCACCTCTGCCTTCCCACAGGGCTGCATTGTCTGCAGTTCCTGTTTCTCAGGGGCGGAGCTGTGGGGGGCAGCCATGGGTGCCATAATAGGCACCTGCGGCCAGCACAATGGGCTGTGGGTGCTTGTGGGAGAGACAGATTGATGTATTGTGCATGGGGAGGAGGGCTGTCACTTGAATCCATGTGAACCCAGGCTTTAGGGGCAAGGGAGATTGACAGCTTTTGTAGGTTGCATTTCTTTTTCAAAGCTTGGCTTTAATAGACAGTAAGTTTGGGGCCCCAGGCTTTCACTCCCATAATTCTAACAGGGCAATCACGAGCATTCAGCATTTCTTTTTACCCCCCTTGTTACGCATTAAATGATTTCAGTAAAGGAATGTGCAGCATTAATTAGAATTTGTTAGCAGATACCAAGGGGAAAAGTTTCTTCACAACAACTATAGGAGGTGTCATTTGTACAAAGACTTTTTTGTTTTCTTTCCCCATTACATTATCACTGCAATATGTAAGGTAGTGATTCTTTTCATTTAAATTAAGTGGAAAGCTACTAAATCTTGTTTTATTCTCCAAAAAGAATAAGGTCCTTAACACTTATCTTTTAGCTTCTTTCATTTCCTAAGGTTGGTGTTTACTTTTGCTTTCAGTCGAACCCATTTACAGATCTGTGTGGTTGTGTATCCAGTTTTGTGAACCATTTAGCTCTTACAATTACAGGCAATCCACTATTGCTAAGTAAAGATTGTTTCAGGTGAAAATAGCTACCAATAATATTGAAAATCATTGCTACGTGGGGGCTCTTTTCCATAAGGGTATAATGAGAAATGCCAAGAATTAGGTTTCTATCCTAATATATTTCTAAAACTACTTTTCCCTAATTGATATTTAACCTTAGCCATGATACCAAATTTATGGAACAAAGGGGCAGTGGCCAAGGAATACTTTCTCCCAGAGAAAAGTTATTCCTGAACCAAGTCAGTTTTTTTAAACATCTGAATCCATTCGCTCCAACTCACTCCCCCCAACCCCCAGCATCATTCCTTCCAGCTGGTTAAAATGATCTTCGTTTTAAGTTGACTTGATTTTCCATTTTTTTCTATTATTCCTGGCATCTTTAGACTTATAGAAGAGCAGTTAATCTCAGGACAGCTTATCAGCACAGTGTTTGCTAGCTGAGGAAATAATAAAACATTAACATTTTGGGATGTGATTTTTAAACTATCTCATGTCCCATATAAAATCACTTTATGGTAGGAGCTGAAGGCTTACTGAATTAGAATTTCCCATTCAATTGTTTTATTTAAACGTGCTAAGGGCAACAGTGAAAAATATTGATTCTCTACCATTATTTCTGAGAAAGAACATATTCCCACACCGTTGTCTGGCTCTGTCTGTAATAATAATTTGGTGCAGTGGTGCTAAAAGTAGTGGGGTGATAATAATTAGGGTGTGCAACACAGAAATTTCAATGCTGGATTCAACATTTCACCACGCAGGGCATGAAAATTGCCGACCAGGGCTAGTGAGCTCTAAGTACTAATTAACTAATTAATCAGGTGCTGAAACCAACTGAATGGAGGATACCAGCCAGACAACTCAAGCCCAAGCCCAGGGGTGTGCTCTTTTCAAAGACAGTGCGGTCTTTCTTCTTGGTTTTTAACCAATCAAAAATGAGGGGAGAAACAGGATATGGTGTCCTAATGTCAGTCATTTCAGCCCAAGCTCTTTTTACCTAGAGAAACTAAAATGCAAACATGTACCTCTGACAATAACCAGGAGGCACCTTGTGGAAGAGAATCCTCAAGTCTCTGGGGAGGCAGCCGACTCCTTGGCCATGAACTAGTTAGAGAGAGAGAGAGAGAGAG